GTGCAGAAAGAAGAAAGAGAAGCTACTATTGTAGCATTTGTTTACTTAATGTTTAAACTGTTGCCTGTCAGAAAGGGCATCTACTTGATTCACCCTTGATTTTAAAATATAAAACTACTCTGGAGTTTTGTATGGGATATAAGACCAATTTGTAGAGAAATATGTGGCCATTTTCAGGTGAAGGTGGCCTTTCAGCTCACGGTGGAAACATTTGTAAAAGTCATCATTGTTTTGCCTGTTCAGAACAGGGAATGTGTGTATGGGGGGGGCATTTATTTATGACCGAATGAAATACTTCAAAGAGACGTACCTGATCCTTTTTTAATGTAATCTGACCAATTTCTTTGTTGCCCACAAAGGATCTCATGACCTTATGCACACGTTCTCCTGCACGCACTCGGATAATGAAGTTTGGTGGAAAGTATCCGATTTTTTCTCCAATCTCCCCAACTTTCTTCCCCTAGGAGATTCATGCAGGAAGTTAAATTGTAAAGAAATAACCTGCTCAAAAAATTCCCAGTTCGATCACCACCAAACAAGACAGGATTAACATACTTATGAGGACTTTTTTCATAAAAAGCAGAGGGGAAAATTGGCAATTTGCAATGATTCCCTCCTTCAACATATAAATACACTTTTGTTCTAAAAGGAGGAGGAAGAGACCAGTAACTAATATTTTGGAACATTAGCTCTTGCCAACATGATATATTTTAATTATCCCCGTTCTTCAAAAATAACGTCAATAACCCTGCCAACTGCTCATTAAGCCATTTTCAGGAGAGTAAGTATCTTTGCGTGTTCTAAATGGGGGATATTAAAAAATATTGTGAGAGAAAAATGAACAAATTTGACAAAAGGAAAAATTTCAAAAGGAAAAATACAAAATTAATGTTACCAATTTCTTTCAACCCTTTCATGAAAATATACAGTTTTTCATAAACAGGAAGAGGTTTCATTCATAACACTTTATTGACAGAGGATGGAGTTATATATTTTGTGGGAGGGTAGGCAACCTTTTGATGGTCAGGAACTGGAGTGAATGTCTTTAGATGTTTGGGGGGGCACCATGATTTGGATGATGGTGCAAAGTAGGTGGAAATAGGATTTTCTGGTGTCCTTTCCCTTTTGGTTGGGCATTTCAGGGATATTCTTTAATTTTTTAACCCTTCCCTGACCATAGCTGCTAAAAACCAGCAGCAGAGTTTCACACCAAGTTGAAGCAGGACACGCCTGAAAACTATGAAAGCCCAAACATTTGTAGCAGAGTTCCAGAACAAACTCTTCCTTGCCCCCCAAAAAAAATCTTAGAAAGAAACTGCAACAGAAAGTCCTGGATTTCTCAGGTTTGTGACATGACCCTCTTTTTTTAAATTATTCCTTGTCCCTAATAAAATACTATATACAACCCCTGCTCACTAAATGGTTGCCCACCTCTCATTTTCACTGAATAACTGATTTCTTGGGAGGAGGGGAGCAACACTATTTTGCCAAGTTTAGTTAAATCATGCAAATGTGCCTCAAGTCACACTGAAGGAAGACTCCAGCTGGGACACCATAGTAAAAGCCGAAACAGAGGGAACCCCAAATATTTTGCTTGTGATTAACCACTAACATTTAAAAACTTTAGATTTTAAAGATTAAGAACTTTCTTCAAAAATGAACAGGTTTGATCCTGAAAGAGAAATTCTCTTCTTACCCGCCACCATTCCTCATTGGAGTCATCAACAATTGCAATTTTGTCTCCTGGGCTGAAAGAGAACGAGGACCCCAAGATGAAAATACTGTTGCAAGTCAGAGCTGCTGAACAATCTGAGTGGCCTACCAACATTCTGGCATTTAATCCTTTCTCTCCCAATTCTAAATATTTGACCAAGATGGGGAAAAAAGACATACTTCCGTGATTGTTCCGCCACCAACTCAACAAGGTAATGAGATACAGAACTTCAGCTGAGCACTAGAACATCCAGCAGCCTGACAAATGCTCTATTCTTTTCTCACTGTCTTGTAAGCATTGGTAGGATTCTATATTCATTATTGCCAGTACCTACCTTTGCGTACACGGTGACCCATTCTACTTGTCTCCTTATCCTACTTACACTGAGACCCACAGTTAAGTTGCTGAACTAGGACCAAATCCATCCTCAGTCATGGAAGCTCACTGGGTGACTTTGGGTCTGCCAGCACTTCTCAGCCCAACCTACTTCACAAGATTGTTATAGGAAAAACTGGAGGAAGGAGTGCTATATACATCTCCTCGGGTGAGGAGTGAGACATACACTTAAAAGTAAATAATCTTCCCCAGCCCTTCTCCACAAAACAATATAAGGAAGCTGTCATGTGAAGATCTCACAGTCTTACATGAGATGCATGACTTGCCCTGAACTAAGAGGGATATAGCAATGGTATTCCACAGGGCTTTGATGTTCCTGAATAAGGAAACTTTCTTCAAGACAAGTTAGGTCTTGTTTTATTTGGGTTCTCAGCATCCTCAGATTATGCCTTACATTAATGTGAATACCATCATAGCGAAGCTTTGAGTTCCAAATCTCTTGTTATCAATGACTTGTTCAGAGACAACTGGGAAAAACAAACAATATAAACACTATCTTCATATGTTACAACTTAGCTCCATATTTCATAGGTTACTCCTAAGTTACTCCTAGGTTACCCCTCAGTCTGTGAAGGCAGGAGGCTGGCTCCCCTCTACTGACATGACTTTAACAAAGTATATCAGAAACTCAACCCAGACACTTCTATATTGGGATTTGTTTCTATAATGCAGTGATTTCAAGACTAGGTTTGGTATATTCTGACCAATAATAACAAGACAATTTCATTACTCACTGGAAATCCAAGTCATCTTTCTCCAAGGCTTTGAAGCGATAAAGTGCAATGAAGTAGTGAGAGTGTGGGAACCCAGTTTGCTGTTTCTTACTCTGTTCAAAAGAAGAAAAAAAAAGTAAAGTCTCCTTCAAGTCAAACTTGACTCTTGGTGACTCATCCATGCAATGGATTTTCTTGGCAATGTTATGGAAGTGGCTAGCTATAGCCTCCTTTGGGGAAGTTCCTTTGATTTCCAGGCTAGTTTATAGCCTTGGACTACCCAGAAAGCCCACATGCAAGTAATAACCAGGGGTAATCCTGCTGAGCTAAGGGCAGCTAAATCAACCAGATGCTACCCAAGAGGAGAACAAAACACATTAACATTGATGTATTTGACAGCAGCCAGAGAAACCAGGGTCTCCTCCAAAGGGAAACAAAACCAAACAAGCCCCTCCAGGAGTTCCCATGCAAGTGCTTCCAAGGACTCATGATCTTCATTCTGCCTGCATGCATTAAGTTACAGCCATAAAGGGGCATTTTCAGTGCCTTCTGTGATGGGCTTTGTCCACACAAGGAGGAACTGGCCACAGGCAGGCATTTACTGGTCAACTAGTCACCTCACAGTGCCTGTTCCGCTGATTCTAGTCTTTACTTTAATTTTTAAATTACATTTTTTAAAAGTTACCCCCTTAACCCAAGATTTTCTGCGTGGTTTACAATAATAAATACATCCACTTTCAAAACAGTAAAAGCTGCTGTTAAAAACAATCTATCTGTGTAATACTTCAAAAACTAAAAGCCTAGGAAAAAAGTTGTGAGCGTTACGGATGGAAGACCCTCTCTGTCTCATTTCAGCCGGCAAAGGCATCAGGAAGAGAGCCCTTCAGAATGTTCTTGCTGGCTTCATTCCTTTGAAAGTAAGTCATGGGCACAACTCCTGGTTTTCTTATCCCCCACTTGCATTTACCTCACCCCCAATGGCAGCTAAGTTAAAAAATTATTTCATGACTGTGCTGTTCTTTTGGAAACTACAAGTTTAAAGAAATGAGTAGGACACAAAGGTTAGGGATATTTATACCACATTGCCTTTTTGTTTTCATGCTTATGGACTGCTATAAAGCCACCAGGGCATAGTTATGATATTTTTATTTTGCTCTCAGGTACTCAGGTTGTTGTTAGAAATTTTTAATGCTGGCCAAACCCAAGTTCTTTCTATATAATTAGTCTCAGCATGGGCAAGGAATCAAAACAGATTATTCGTAGGTGTACAAATAAACATGTTTATATGAGCATGAGTATGCATGCACAGACCTTAAAAGTGGATTTAATCCACCTACGGAAAGTAGGATATCATGCATGATCTTAGGGCTTGGGCTGTTCAAAATCTTGTAGCCACCCAACCTCACACCTCAACAGTCTGCCCCCGGAGGTGCGATTGGCCCCCTCACTCCTGGCCTTCCGAAGGACCTTGAAGACCTGATTCTGCCACTTGGCCTGGGGTGGGAAGGGAACATCTCAAGCAGGGAGATGGCTAGCCCCATAGTGGCCGGCTGTCCCTGCCCTGATTTTCCATCATCTTGGAAT